ATCGCTTTTTTGTTTTGTAGCTTTTTGGGCAGCGGCATGTAACTGCCTCCACGAAAAGGCTGGTATTGGGCGACATTGATGTAGGCTTTCAAGACGGCTTCTACCACCCAGCCTGAGCCTCTTTGAGACCATACTTCTATTTCTCCTTTGAATTCATCGATTGATCGGCGTAATACGTCGCTTACTGTAGCCGCGTTGTTTCTGTTGAAAACCATGGTGTTACTCTGTTTGAAATAACGCTTCATTTCTTGCTTTTCATCATCTCTAGTTATCGAAAACTTAACGTCAAGCGCGAACTGCGTTTTGACGCTTTTTAGGGTTTTAATTTCATTTTCTATCACTTCTGCAAATTTTGATTTTGTTTTTTGTGCGAATTTCAAAAGGTCGACTTTGAATTTATAGGCTTGTGGAACTTCCATTTTCCACACACGAAGCCATTCTTCGAAGTCGTTTATTACCAACTGAAAATCAAAATCCCTGCTGGACCTTATAGAGGGCTGGAGTCTCGCGTTCTCTTCGCGCGAGATAGGGCCGTAAAACGTCTCTATCACATCAGAAGAAAACCTTGACGCGGCCATGGTTGCTTTATACCAAGGCAGGCGGCTTGTTCAATTGGACAAAATTCTGGATCAAAAATCATACTCGCGCAAAGCGAAACGACTTATAAGGCCGAGATTTGTTTGATTCACGGCTTGCAAGATCAGCAATCACACCCGCCTTAAACACATGTATAATGGTGATTCTAGACTCAAGGCGGTTTGTTCTAATCTAATAAGAACGAAACACCTTGATCCAGAATCACCATTGTACATGTGTGTATTTTAATGCCCCTACGCTACGTCCTTAATCCATAGGTCATATACCATTTATATACACCGTGCTAAAGAGGAGAACAGTGATCACTGGCATTGTTAATTCAGAAATAGCACAAAACGCAACGGTAACAGAATAGATAAGCAGATGTGACACCGTATAAAACATTCCATGAAGTCATCCATTCATGAAGATTAACCAAAGGCGAGCGTTTTGATTTCCAAAGAGAATCGTGGTTGTGGAAACATCCTTTTAAACTTCAAAACCAGTTTGCCCATTACTGGTGGGTTGGGTTTATTTGTTTTCAAATGACTCTGTCCAGAAAGCTAACAAAAGTTTCTAATTTTTGCAAAATTTTTTTCGAGCATCTCAGAAACATTGTGGACCGTGCAAATCTTCGCAAACATGGCCCGGTTCGTCGGGGTGCGAGATGGCATGATTTTGTGACACAACTAGTACTTCGTTCACACCAGCATGTTTAACATGTTTAAACGTGGTTTAACGGTGCTCATACACCGAATGCAAATATGGCGGACCACTCGGTCGGCGCCCGGGACGAGTCGCATGAAAGCGAGGGTAGTCAGGCTTTGATGTTTTGTTTTGACAATGCTTCCCCAGAAAAGTCTTGCTTCGTCGTCGATCTGGTC